TGGAAACTAGAGTGTGACGGCATCTACATGTTGGAAACTAGTGTGTGACATCATCTACATGTTGGAAACTAGTGTGTGACATCATCTACATGTTGGAAACTAGCGTGTGACGGCATCTTCATGTTGGAAACTAGCGTGTGACGGCATCTACATGTTGGAAACTAGCGTGTGACGGCATCTACATGTTGGAAACTAGCGTGTGACGGCATCTACATGTTGGAAACTAGTGTGTGACGGCATCTACATGTTGGAAACTAGTGTGTGACGGCATCTACATGTTGGAAACTAGCGTGTGACGGCATCTACATGTTGGAAACTAGCGTGTGACGGCATCTACATGTTGGAAACTAGTGTGTGACGGCATCTACATGTTGGAAACTAGTGTGTGACATCATCTACATGTTGGAAACTAGTGTGTGACATCATCTACATGTTGGAAACTAGTGTGTGACATCATCTACATGTTGGAAACTAGTGTGTGACATCATCTACATGTTGGAAACTAGTGTGTGACATCATCTACATGTTGGAAACTAGTGTGTGACATCATCTACATGTTGGAAACTAGTGTGTGACATCATCTACATGTTGGAAACTAGCGTGTGACGGCATCTACATGTTGGAAACTAGTGTGTGACATCATCTACATGTTGGAAACTAGCGTGTGACGGCATCTACATGTTGGAAACTAGTGTGTGACATCATCTACATGTTGGAAACTAGTGTGTGACATCATCTACATGTTGGAAACTAGTGTGTGACATCATCTACATGTTGGAAACTAGCGTGTGACGGCATCTACATGTTGGAAAACTAGTGTGTGACATCATCTACATGTTGGAAACTAGTGTGTGACATCATCTACATGTTGGAAACTAGCGTGTGACATCATCTACATGCTGGAAACTAGCGTGTGACGGCATCTACATGTTGGAAACTAGTGTGTGACATCATCTACATGTTGGAAACTAGCGTGTGACGGCATCTACATGTTGGAAACTAGTGTGTGACGGCATCTACATGTTGGAAACTAGCGTGTGACGGCATCTACATGTTGGAAACTAGCGTGTGACGGCATCTACATGTTGGAAACTAGTGTGTGACGGCATCTACATGTTGGAAACTAGCGTGTGACGGCATCTACATGTTGGAAACTAGCGTGTGACGGCATCTACATGTTGGAAACTAGTGTGTGACATCATCTACATGTTGGAAACTAGTGTGTGACATCATCTACATGTTGGAAACTAGCGTGTGACGGCATCTACATGTTGGAAACTAGCGTGTGACGGCATCTACATGTTGGAAACTAGCGTGTGACGGCATCTACATGTTGGAAACTAGCGTGTGACGGCATCTACATGTTGGAAACTAGCGTGTGACGGCATCTACATGTTGGAAACTAGCGTGTGACGGCATCTACATGTTGGAAACTAGTGTGTGACGGCATCTACATGTTGGAAACTAGTGTGTGACGGCATCTACATGTTGGAAACTAGCGTGTGACGGCATCTACATGTTGGAAACTAGCGTGTGACGGCATCTACATGTTGGAAACTAGTGTGTGACGGCATCTACATGTTGGAAACTAGTGTGTGACATCATCTACATGTTGGAAACTAGTGTGTGACATCATCTACATGTTGGAAACTAGTGTGTGACATCATCTACATGTTGGAAACTAGTGTGTGACATCATCTACATGTTGGAAACTAGTGTGTGACATCATCTACATGTTGGAAACTAGTGTGTGACATCATCTACATGTTGGAAACTAGTGTGTGACATCATCTACATGTTGGAAACTAGCGTGTGACGGCATCTACATGTTGGAAACTAGTGTGTGACATCATCTACATGTTGGAAACTAGCGTGTGACGGCATCTACATGTTGGAAACTAGTGTGTGACATCATCTACATGTTGGAAACTAGTGTGTGACATCATCTACATGTTGGAAACTAGTGTGTGACATCATCTACATGTTGGAAACTAGCGTGTGACGGCATCTACATGTTGGAAACTAGTGTGTGACATCATCTACATGTTGGAAACTAGTGTGTGACATCATCTACATGTTGGAAACTAGCGTGTGACATCATCTACATGCTGGAAACTAGCGTGTGACGGCATCTACATGTTGGAAACTAGTGTGTGACATCATCTACATGTTGGAAACTAGCGTGTGACGGCATCTACATGTTGGAAACTAGTGTGTGACGGCATCTACATGTTGGAAACTAGCGTGTGACGGCATCTACATGTTGGAAACTAGCGTGTGACGGCATCTACATGTTGGAAACTAGTGTGTGACGGCATCTACATGTTGGAAACTAGCGTGTGACGGCATCTACATGTTGGAAACTAGCGTGTGACGGCATCTACATGTTGGAAACTAGTGTGTGACGGCATCTACATGTTGGAAACTAGCGTGTGACGGCATCTACATGTTGGAAACTAGCGTGTGACGGCATCTACATGTTGGAAACTAGTGTGTGACGGCATCTACATGTTGGAAACTAGCGTGTGACGGCATCTACATGTTGGAAACTAGAGTGTGACGGCATCTACATGTTGGAAACTAGCGTGTGACGGCATCTACATGTTGGAAACTAGTGTGTGACGGCATCTACATGTTGGAAACTAGTGTGTGACGGCATCTACATGTTGGAAACTAGTGTGTGACGGCATCTACATGTTGGAAACTAGTGTGTGACGGCATCTACATGTTGGAAACTAGTGTGTGATGGCATCTACATGGTGGCAACTAGTGTGTAACGGCATCTACGTGTTAACATTTGATAAGAGAGGCATAGCATCTGTATTTGCTCAAGACGTGGAATGTCAGGTACACATAAACCGCATCTCTTACCTGAGAAATTGAGATGGCTCTTTATGAGTCTCAAGCAGTATGTCCTATTTCATTTTGAAAGAATTAGAACAGACTACTGAAATATTTTTGTCACATTCATCATCATCATCATCATCATCATCATCATCATCATCATCATCATCAATTTCCACGTCTGTCGTTAAGCTTTGTGAGGAGGAGAAGTTTGCGATCCATTGCCTGTTGGGCAGAATTGGCCATTGTCACTCTGTGTTGATGTAGAAACTCTTTAATATCATCAGTATATATATCTCCTAGGGCTGCCTCTAGCTTTCACTTCAGATAGTTTCATGTCTAGCGTCTGCGTTGGTGGTTGTTCTGGCTGCCTCCTCAATGACCAAACCATTTGATGTTTTGTTTCAACTGTGAATTTGCTGCACGGTGTTGTTCCTACAGTCCAGCTGATGATATCCTTTCTGTCTCGGATAGTTAAGTATGTCACATTAAACGATATAACTGTCTTATAAAAATCATAATGAAGGAAAAGGTTGGAGGCAGACAAGCAAGAGTTGGAAAGTAATACTAGTGCAGCGGTTCTAAACCTGCGGGGGGCGCCTTTTTCTTTGGGTCGAACGACCCTTTCGCAGTGGTCGCCCAAGACCATGGGAAAGCGCAAATTAATTTAAGATATAAAGGGAAATAATTGTGGGTCGCAAAAACATGAGAAAACTGTATTAAAGGGTCGCGGCGTTAGGAAGGTTGAGAGCCAGTGTACTAATGGTAGGATAACCTCGAGTGATGGGTGAACTGAGAGAGTTTACAGCCAGAAAAGGAGAGAGAGAGGGGGGGGGGAGAGAGAGAGAGAGGGAGAGAGAGAGAGAGCGGGGGGGGGGAGAGAAAGAGGGAGAGAGAGAGGAGAGAGAGAGAGAGAGAGAGAGAGAGAGAGAGAGAGAGAGAGAGAGAGAGAAAGTATTCGAGATTCTTAGCAACTAGAGATCATGATAACCTAACAACGCCTAATAGATTGATTGACATTAGATTTGAACTGACGGTGACTTCTTCTTCTTCTTCTTTGCGTTCATCAGCTGTACACTCTGGTGGAAAGTTCTGGTTGTTCGTCCACTTCTGAACTGCAGTCCTGCTCCAGAACCTGAGTGTTGCGTGTGCATCAGTTTTACAGATCTGATTCACTTGAATGCAGACTGTTGGTTCCTTGCCTCTCAGGCAGATGCACTTCGACTTCAAAGGAAGCTTCCCAATTAGTCGACTATTACGACATGCTTTTGGGTAGGCAGAGGGTCTATTCTTGTTTTCCCCACGATGGGGCCCCGGAACCCACACGGGGGATCAGATACACTGAGAAGCAAAGCAACAAATTGTTGGGGCATCTTAGCATAAAGCAGCATTTACCATCACGCGCTACAAAAAAAAAAAAAAAACGGAGGAAATAAAGACATTGTATATTTACACGAAATAATAGTGGTCACTGCTACTCGTCGAGCTCTTAACCAGCAACTATTCCTCTTCATGACATTTGATGACAGATGTGGAAGATGATGATGATGATGATGACGGCAGTGTTACTACAGTCATACAAGAGGCTAAACGCTGTGCGGCTTTCAGTTTTGTGGAAAATTAATTTTCACTGAATAGACTGCATACCCTGGGTGTATCAAGTTGCGCTGCGAGTCAGGAAAACCATGGGAGAGCCACCGGTCGTTACATCAACCAGAATAGAAAGGGAGTTTTAGTCTAAAAACTTGGAGACATACTCAGGAGGAGATCTGAGAACTTATGATCGTTTCCGATGTGATGATAAAGATGATCTCAGTGAACAATGAATCACTAATTTTGTTCCGATTTTATTTCAAGTCAGTTTTTAATTTCGCAATTTATCGATGTCAAAGTACACCATGATATGACGTAAGCGCAGGTTCCTTGACGACCCCAGATCCCCCAAGAACTTCTCCAAACGGTCGTCTGCATCTAAGGTGGTTATCACAGTCCTCCTCCCACACCTTCTCACCCAGTGCCCACACTTCCCAGCCAAAGTTTGGCTACTATGAGACATTGAGGACTGCACTGAGTGAGAGAGGAAACATTAGAGTGACAGCGGCGTGATTTTATTCTGTCCATCCCCGGCCTAACACTGTCGAGACAACAAGTCCAGGATGAGAGAAGTCATCAACATCCACCTAGGACAGTGCGGGACGCAGATTGGAAACGCCTGCTGGGAACTCTTCTGTTTGGAGCACGGAATTCAACCAGATGGACAGATGCCGTCTGATAAAACAATTGGTGGAGGTGATGATTCTTTCATCACGTTCTTCAGTGAGACTGGAGCCGGGAAACACGTCCCTAGGGCAGTATTCGTAGATCTGGAACCCACAGTCGTAGATGAAGTGAGGACGGGAACTTATAGACAACTGTTCCACCCGGAGCAGCTGATTTCAGGTTAGGAAAAGCTCGATACTTGTTTTTGAAATTCTGTTTTCTCTTGTCGTTTGTTCAACTTCGTATGCCGCAAAGCGTCGTAGAGGAGTTGTATAGTTTCCTGTCGTTTGCTAGTGGCGTAGCTTGTGCTAAAGTTTTTCCCGTGTGAATTACGGGGCCCATTATGGGAAACATAAGAACAGACCCACTGCCTACCCTAAAGCATGTCGTAAGAGTCTACTAATTAGGAGCTTCCTTCGAAGTCGTAGTACATCTTGCTGAGACGCTAGGAACCAACAGTCTAAATACAGATGAGTCAGACCTGTAAAATGGATGCGCACGCTACACTCACGTTCTGGAACAGGACTAAAGTCAAGAAGTAGACGAACAATCAGAACTTTGCGCCGGAGTTTAGAGCTGGTGAATGCGAAGAAAAAGGGGTAATAATGTCAGACTACGTTTCTGCAGTTTTCTCATTTACTCCATCGATCCATACCTTTCTTGGTCGGCCTCTTGCCGTGTAGCCTGCTGTTCTTATATAATAGACTCTAGATGCTGGCTGATTGTGTTTCATTATTTCCCAGATGACCAACCCATTTGGTTCTTTGATGTTCTATTAAATCAATCACTCGCTTACTACTGTTTTTAATTCTGTATTAATACCAATCTTACACTCTACATATAACAATAAGAAAAAGACAAACACTTTTCTTTGGTCACATAATTAGAAGTGAGACATTAGAGAATATCGTGACAACTGGAAAGATCAGTGGGAAAAGGGGTAGAGGCAGACCAAGAGAGATGATGCTGGATGGGCTGAAATGATGGCATGGAGAGATATCATCAAGAGAACTATTCCAGGCAACCAGGGATCGTGATCTGTGGAAAGGCATGAGCGCGTACGCCAGTTGGCAGGGCACATGATAAAGATGATGATCTCCAACACAGCTGACCTCACATGTTGTTATTTTGTTTTTATCTTCTTCTAAGCTGCACAATTATGGCGCTGATAGCGCAAAGCTAATGAGTCAAAAGTGACGCCATTTGTAATATAGTGTTTTATATTTGTCAGTTGAATTCTAGCGACAGGGCTGTAAACAACGTGCCTTCTCCACGCGGGAGGTTCGTTGCAATGTGTCCATAGCTTACTTCGGGAATGTTACGAGATGAGGACATAATCTCTTCCACCTGCGACTCTCATACCCCTTTATTTATACGCGCGAGTGAAAACTGTCTCTTCCCTTCCCCTTCCGTCTTCTAAATATCCCACGGCTGGACCTGCACCTTGCTAAACGTCGACAATGCTTTTCACCATGTGGACAGTAAGTAAAGTAAAGATCCCTTTCCAGTGTCCGCACCTTAAGGCGCATCGGGCTTCTGGGAAAAGCACCCGTATTTTTACAGACCAATCGACACTAGGCGGGTAATGCGGTCAGCATTGCACTAAAGCTGTATTGCTGTATGCTATATCAGTTGCACTCTAGCGATAAAAACACATCTACTGAGTCACTTAGGTTATAGCATAGTGCTATAAATACCGTGTCCATTGTATTCTAATCTAAAGACAGTGTTAACTACCACGCCCTGTGTAATCTAACCGTAGTGCTATACAGAACCGTGTCGTGCTATGACTTACTTGTATGCAGAATGTTGGTTCCTCACCTCTCGGGTAGACGCACTTCGCTTTCCATGGAAACATCCCCATTTACTCGACTTCTACGATATGTTCTTATTTTCCTCCATAATGGGGCCCCGGAATCCCCACAGGCACCTAGGTTATTGGTTCCTTTCCTCACCTCTTGATTCACTGTTCTGAGCTCATTTCTCCCCGAGCTTGACTGCCTTTCTACCCCACCAGGACATCAGACAAGCAATAAACACCCGATGACGCAAAGTTCCACCATGCGGATGAGGATCACAGTGGAGACGTCCCAGAAACCGCGTTCAGACAATTGGCCATTTTGATGGCCTGTCTATATTGCGGCCCCTGACAAAAGTCAGAGTGGGGCTTCAAATAACAAAAAATTACGTCCTGAAAAAACCTAGCTTATCGTTATCGGACTGCTGAGCACACCACTCAGAGAAGCCACTACAGATGCCCATATATAACTTCTGGTGAATTGATCAGGTAGACTGACAGGATTTGCCCTGTTGCACTGCGATTCAGGATGATATTATTTTAGTCCTATGGGTGCTCAAACCTTTCATTAGCAGCCAGGATGGGGGAAACACACAGACAAACACGTTTGCGGCTCTGCATATAATTAAATAATTCTCGCTGCATGCCATTTAATTTCATTTGCATGCCAGTTAATTCCCTTGGCATGTTATTTAATTTCCTTGGCATGTTTTTTAATTCCCTTGGCATGTTATTCAATTCCATTGGGATGTCATTTAGGTTAAACCACTTACTTGACCGACAGGGACAGGACATCACCTCAGGACGGGGCATAACAAACTTTACAAGTATATGCGCAGACTTCGTATAAGTGGTGAAGCCCTACTCTGGCTCTTGCCAGGGACCGCAATATAGCCCGGCCATAAATAAGGTCTAATGGCTGAACGAGGTTTCTGGGACCTCTCCACGGGTGATCCTCATCCACATGGTGGCACTTTCTGTCATCGGGTGTTTATCGCTTGTGTGATGTCCTGGTGGGGTAAAAGAAGATAGATACACGTATAAGTGGTTTACATTTTGCCACGTGGGCTGTCTGGGCAAACTGCAGAATACATAATGCAAGAATGTCCCTGGTACAGTCCATTAAGAAGGAAATACTGGCTCAGTAAGTAAATCCATACTCAAAGTTGCATGGAACTAGAAGGGAACTCCTGAAAACAGTTCATTTTATCACACCGACTTGTCTGTCGGAGTAAATCAGAGAGTAAAAAGAGGAAGAAAAAGAATGTCGAAATTGTTAATATAAGACCTTCGCAACTCTCATATACCCAAAGGTCACCCTGCCAGCCAGGTCATTTGAAAAAAGGTTAGTTGCGTATCCTTTACAGGACGTTGCAGAACCAACCCCAACAGCCCCTGGCCGTTGTGTGGTTTTTATGGGGAAATTTACGTCCAGTAGTTTGCCATTACTTGCTGGACGGTCGGCTTTCTTGATCACACTGTCAAAACCAACGCAAGGCGCGTGGCCCTTAGCTGGGTTTGAACCCGGCATCCCGGCTTTGCGAAGCGTTCGCTTCAACTTAGCCACAGAGCCGACAATTTGAAAAAAAAACACACACAAAAAGTCAGGTACCGCCAGGACCTGAATCCACGACCTTTCGATCCTCAGGGAAGCGTCTACCCGCTTCACTACGTTGGCTCACTAACTAAATAAGTAAATACATAAATACATTACAGAGACGGACATACTGATAAAGGCTGATAATTTTTACCCCAGGGAAGGAAGATGCGGCCAACAACTACGCCCGAGGTCATTACACTGTCGGCAAAGAAATCGTGGACCTGGTACTGGACAGGATCCGGAAACTGGCTGACCAGTGTTCTGGTCTACAGGGCTTCATGACCTATCACAGTTTTGGAGGCGGCACCGGGTCAGGCTTCACTTCTCTCTTAATGGAGCGTCTTTCAGTTGACTACGGCAAGAAATCCAAATTAGAAGTTTCCGTCTATCCATGCCCACAAATTAGCACAGCTGTGGTGGAGCCTTATAACTCGATCCTTGTAACACACACAACACTGGAGCACGCGGACTGCGCCTTCCTCGTAGACAACGAGGCACTGTACGATATTTGTCGGCGGAACCTGGACATCGAGCGTCCAACATACACCAACCTCAACCGTCTCATTGGCCAGACCGTCTCCTCTTTGACCGCTTCCCTCAGGTTCGATGGCGCGGTAAACGTTGACCTTACCGAATTTCAAACCAATCTGGTACCCTATCCTCGCATTCATTTCCCGCTGATTGTGTTAGCGCCGGTCATATCGGCAGAGAAAGCGTATCACGAACAGATAACAGTAGCCGAAATCACCTACGCTTGTTTCGAGCCGGCGAACCAGATGGTCAAATGTGACCCCCGGCACGGCAAATACATGGCATGTTGTCTGCTGTATCGTGGCGACGTGGTGCCCAAGGATGTCAATGCTGCCATCGCCACAATCAAGACCAAGAGGACCATTCAGTTCGTGGACTGGTGCCCGACGGGGTTCAAGGTGGGCATCAACTATCAGCCGCCAACTGTTGTCCCCGGTGGTGATCTGGCTAAAGTGCAGAGGTCAGTGTGTATGATGGCCAACACAACAGCTATCGCGGAAGCCTGGGCACGACTGGACCACAAGTTTGACCTGTTGTATGCTAAGAGAGCATTCGTTCATTGGTGAGTATCCCTGAATACTTTCTAGTTCTGCTCTCAACGGGTTTCCCCTCCAAATGGCACATCTCATAGAGAAACAGCCAGATCAGATATGTTAGCTCAACCTTAGATATACGGAAATATTACTGCATGATAGTGTGGTAAAACGATGAAAATTATGTCAGAGATAAAAAAGAGGCTTGTCATATAGACAGGTCTTGAAATGGTCACTTACAGTAAAGCAGAAGAGTAAATAAGTAACAATGGAAACGAGCTGTCTGGGAAGGACTGAATGAGTGACCAGAAGAGACCAAATCAGAACTGGGGTCATTAGAGGTTAGTTGCGTATCCTTTACAGGACTGCAGAACCAACCGCAACAGCCCCTGGCTGTTGTGTTGTTTTTCTAGGCAAATTTACGTCCAGTAGTTTGCCATTGCTCCCTGGACGGTCGGCTTCCTTGATACCACTATCGAAACCAACGCAAGGGGCATGGCCCTCAGCTGGGATCGAACCCGGCATTGGTCATTAGAGAGAAGAACTAATTCTAAACTAAATACAAAGGCAGCAGATCAAACGGTTTGCCCAATGCGAAGAAGAAGAAGAAGATCCAGGCGAACTGGGGAAGAGAACAATGGCAGATCCAGAACAAGAAGACGACAGAAATGCTTCTGAATGGGTGGTGTACAAAACTCTGTTGTTGAACTAAAACGCAAAACAAAGATTTGAACTTGGAACATTAGGGTTCTATACCAAGAAAAACCAAGTATGGTCAGAAGTGAAATGAGGAGATGCAGCATGGACATTCTTGGAATTTTTGAACACTGTTGGGGTAGAGGAGGGAGTGGTGTGTAAAGCCATTTCTAGTGTGAAACTTCTATTTATCTGAACATGTAAGAGAACTGGCTCCCTAACAGCATCCTGTTTTGAAAGCTGGGATATTTTGGCGTAATTAAACATTACGGTGCCCTGGAGAAAACAGTGATGGACGGTGAAGTTTCTGGAAAATGACTCAAAGGCCGACCTCCACGAATATAAACGCAAGACACTGCAGATGTATTGTCTATGAAAGCGCACAGGGATGGACAACTGGCTAGAGAAAGAGATAATTTCAGACTTCTTTCCTTATGAGGGATGCAATTTTTCATTATTTAAAGCCCCACTCTGGCTTTTGCCAGGGGCCCTGAATATAGCTGGGCCATAACGGCTGAAATGGGTTTCTGCAACCTCTTCACGGATGGTCCTCAGCCGCATAGTCGCACCCTGTGTCATCGGATGTTTATCGCTTGTGTGATGTTACAAAAAGCAAGCAAGCGATAGGACTTGAACAGGATGTGACTGTATACACGTCTGAGGAGATCCTGCCGAGACCTTTGACCGATACACTCTGTCTCACTGTGAGTAATTCGGGAATATCTAAAGGAGCTGGGCTCGAAGACAGATGTTAGGGTCTCTGATGACGTTATGGGGGACATAAATCTGTTCCATTTTGTGCCAGAGCATGCGGATGTACAAGTCAATGAACAAACTGACAAGCTGGCTGACGTAGTTATTGTGAATGGAAGGTGGAAGAGGAGAGAATTGGGCTAAAATAGTGTATGCGGACAGAGAGTTAAAAAAAAAAAAAAAAAACCAATGAAGTAGACTGAAGGACACTTGTCATGTCATTCGCACATGGTGCTAGTGCCACATTTGAATAGACCAGTCATCAGACAGCGGCGTCCGTGGCTTAGGCGTTGGGAGTCCGACTCGTGATTCCAGCGTACGGCGATCGAAACCCACTGCTGACTGCGTGAATTTTTATCATGGTATTGGACGTCGCAGGTCAACCCTGTCTAAAATGGGTACCAGGATGTATTCCTGGGGAAGTAAAGACGGCCGGTGTAATGCTGACAACATTACCCACCTAGTGCCGATTGGTCTGTAAAAATATCGGTACTCTTCCCATATGCCCGATGCGCCTACAGGCGTGAAAAGGGATCTTTACAGTACTTAGTCATCAGACAATTAATGATATTGTCAGCCTCTCGCTGGTTTCATTATTTCCTAGAACAAGTCAAGATACTTTGATGCGATAGATTTTACCCATTAGGGTTCTGCGACCCAGTCTCGGTGAAGTGGGAACTGACCCACTTTAACCCCAACAAACATGTGGAAAGAAGTGACTAATTAAGGGTTTGCTAAAATCGATGTGTTAAGTCGAAAGGCAGGAATATCACTGCCTTACTTTAAACCACACTACAGCTTTCCAGCCGCCTCTTTTTATGGGCAAATGCAACAGAAAAGGAAGATGCGATAGATGCCAGATGTCAACAACTCGGTCACTCGTCATCTCACTCACCATTAGAATCTTCATAATCATTATCGGAATGTTTATCATTGTCATCATCATCAGGATCATCATTAGCATCATCATCATCGCAATCCTCTTCATCGTCGTCAACATCGTCATCAGCATCATCATCGTCGTCATTCTCTCCCTTTCGACATCATTGTTATTATCATCATCATCATTGTCGTCATCTTCTTTATTATCAACCTAATCATTAACGTCATTATCACAGCCGCATAAACCAACACTACTGCTTTTCATCTCCGCCAGGTACGTGGGCGAGGGCATGGAGGAGGGCGAGTTCTCAGAAGCACGCGAGGATCTGGCTGCCCTAGAGAAGGACTACGAAGAAGTTGGTCTTGACTCTGTGGAAGCAGAGGGCGAGGAAGGCGGGGAGGAATTCTAAAAGACTTGTCAGAAGAACCGAGTCCACGGAGACTTGGCATTCGATCAATGTTACACTTGGCAACGAAATGTCTGCTGGTATCTTGTGGGTACACTCGCTAACTACAACGTTTAATGTAATTCACGAAACTAATAGATTCGTTTTTCCACCATGCGCGCCGGCTGCTTGTCTCGTTGTACGAATGCCGATGACTAGCATGTGTATGGAAGAAGTAGCGTTAAACAACCCAGACTGTGACTAGAAACCTCAACGGATGAAAAGGAAAAGACGTACCTAAATATAACTGAGCGTTTAGACCAAAGTCTTTACCAACAGATACAACCGCAGGAATCATTAGGGGAAAAAAACCCACCGAGAAGATAGAGCAGATATGAGTAGAACGAGCTATTACGTCTGTGTTGTATGAAGTTACTTCCTAATTATAATTATAAATCAGCAGATCCTTTACAGAACGTCGCTCTCATCACGGAATGCCTGGAAGTCTCTCTGTCTCTAGGCAGTTCTCTCTCTCCAGCCACATGTGCTTTCATAGCCAATGCATCTTTAATGTTTTGAATCCACTTTTGCGGAAGTCTGCCTCTGCCTCTTTCCAAAACTGTTCCCCCTTCCCCCACCCTATCAGAGATCCTTCCAGACCACCATGACGTTTAGCATGTCCAAAATACCTCAACTTTTGGGACAGTATGCTGTTTATGAGCCAGTTCTCCTTGATGCTCATGTTAATAGGTTTTCGATGTTTTTCTTATTTTTGGTCGCATGGTATTATACGATTTTGTGTGTGTGGTGTGTGTGTATGAGCTTGTAATTTAAAAAAAAAAAAATGATTCGTGTGGCTTCATCCGTTGATAAAGACTTGTAGAAGGAGTAAATGAATGAATGAATGAATCAATCAATCAACATCACTGCACACGGGACATTTCCAGACGTGCTCCGTCCCCTTCTTCAGTAGCCAACAAACAGTCAACATGCTAAGGCAACGATAGCAACTTGATTAAAAGTCCGCCTCAGTTTCCCCTTCAGTGTTGAATATCTCACAGATGTTCCACTCACCCACCGTTGAATTAGACTTTCATTGTCTGGATTCCGTATCTGTTCTTTTGCACTGTCCAACTGATCCCATAGAACCTTCACCACATCCGCTTTATCATATAGTAGCTCTCCGCCCAGAGGAGCGGCTGCAGCGAATCTATCTGTCTGCTCGTTACCTCACACACCTTAATGTCCTGGACATGAAATTGCAAGTTTCTAGCTAAGGTCCAACGGAGTTATGAATGGCCAGACTGACCTTAATTGTATATTATTCAAGAATTAATCAAGTAACAGAAAGTGTATTGATCGGCACTCAAAGAAAGAAGTAGAAAGGTAGAAGAACACACTAGACAACATAAAAATCTAAAGCTAGAGTTACCGTGCCGGGAATTGAACCTGTCACCCCCAGACGGCATTTGCGCCTCGCCATGGATACAAGTACACTAAGAACATGGTCAACTAGGCACCCCTTCCCCCTCAAATAAAAAAAAGTGTCTTGTTGGCCATATCTATCGTACAGCTTGAAATCCACAACTAAGGAATACTGACACAATTCATTTCAAAGGATTGAAAATGGCACCATAGAAATTTATAATAACGAAGCATATGTCAGTATTCATTTATATTATTCAAGAGGGCCAGAGATACAACTTTTCTTCTTTGTTTTCTCCTTTCCCCGAGTGGGTTCTGAGGACCCATTGTGGGGAAAAGAAGAATAGAACCACTTCCTCCCCAACAAGCATGTCGTAAAAGTAAACTGACTGGGGGTTTCCTTTGAAGTAAGAGTGCATCTGCCTGAGAGGCAAGGAACTAACAGTCTGCATACAAATAAGTCAAATATGTAAAACGGATGTGCACGCAACATTCAGGTTCTGGAACAAGTCTAAAGTCCAGAACAGCCAGAACTTTCCACTGGAGTTTGCAGCTGGTGAACGCGAGGAAGGATGAGGAAGGAAGGATTTCCTCCTTCAGCGCTTGGGGTGTCGAGGGAGGTGCAATGTTCTTCTTCTTGCTCTTCTGACCGCTTCGATCATAGTCGCATCCTGCTGTTGTAGAGTTTCTCTGATTATCTGTCCACATTGTTCTTGGGTCAGCGGGTGCTACAGATGTCCAACAGTTGATTCACGTCCAGGTGTTTCCCGGGCGCTAGGATGTTGATTCCTGATTCAACGCTCAACATTTTGAAAAACACTGGTGACATATTTCCTGCAAAAGTTGTCTAACACTGTCCGAGAAGGACTACAGGAGTGACAAGACTAGGTAGAATCAGGAATAAGGTCGGCACAAAACCAACTCTAAATTACATGCATCATGATCCCCATCATGTGGCAAGTCCTTTGCAGAACGTCGCTCTCATCACGGTCTGCCTGAAAGAAACTCTGTCTCTCGCCAGTTCTCCCGCCTCATGTACTTTCATACTCAAGGGGTCACTTATATCCTGTGCCCATCTTCGTGTTGGTCTGCCCCTGCCCCTCCTTCCTGGTACCATGCCTTCTGCGATTATTTTTTTTGTCAAATCCGTCGTGGCGCTTGATATGACCAAAATATTTCAACTTCCGAGACAGGATGCTGTTTATTAGCTAATCTTCCTTGATGATCAGATCTTTCAAGATGTCAATATTTCTCCTCTTCTTTGTAAAGGATATTCTGAGAATCTTTCTATAGCATTTCAGCTCAAAGCCCCTATAGACATGTTGATACGTGATATTTAACACACACAGAACATAAAACACTCACAAGGAATGACCTATATAGGGGATGACTCCACTTAAGCTGGTATATACATATATATATATATATATATATATATATATATATATATATATATATATATATATATATGTGTGTGTGTGTGTGTGTGTGTGTGTGTGTGTGTATGTATGTGTGTGTGTGTGTCGTTTCAATACCGGACGCAGATTTTGTTATTTCAAAACCACACCCCAGTTGTAGTCGGATGCTCTAATATAACCGAACTCCTGAACGGGGTTTCTGGGACCTGTCCCCTGATGATTCTTATCCGCACACATGATGTCACTTTGTGTCACCTCCTGTTTATCGGAGGGTGGATGTGGTGGTGAGGTTGAAAATCACTGATAACAACAAGAGCTAAATACAACATAAAAAAGGACTAGAAAGTTCGAAGCAAGGAATCGAAAAAAAAAATGTTGAATCTTGAAGGTTAAATTAAGAATCGACACCACAGCACTTGGGACAAGCCTATAAGCGTTCATTCCCCGTCTTTAGCAGCAAAGAAGAGTTGCAATTCCGATGGCACAAGTATCTCTTTGATTGAATATTCATCTCTCCCTCCCCCTGGGTGTTGATGAATAAAAAAGACACGCACTAATACAATCCGAACGTTTCGACCAACGTCTTTATCAACGAAGTTTTAACGGAGTCTTGTCCGTCGAGTTTTCCGCTCCCAGTTTGTGTTGTATTTGGTGCTCTGTTGATAACTATATGGTGAGTGGTCCATACGAAGGGACGCAGCGACTTGCATGCTTCTAGAAACAAAAGGACAGCTGAACAACTAACACAGAGTAAAATAGGCACTTTGTTTACAGACACTATTCCCTGCCCTCGTTGTCCGAGAACCTTCCGGGCTAATAATGGGTTTATAAAGTCATCTTTGGACTTATAGTCAACTATATATGCGAGGAATTACCCGGGGATCTGGCCGACGCTCAACACTCAAGGGAAGGGCGAGACACTCAAACAGTTACTGGTGCCAGCGGAATTGGGACTCTTCGTTTGCTGCTGAAGATGGGCAAGAAGCCCCTATGGGAGTATCGCGAGTTCTGTGATGTCGTTTCTTAATTCAACATTCCACGTTCAGTCAACTATAGTTTGATGATCAATGAAAGAAAGAGTGGCATAAAATGACTTGTGATGAAGGAACAGAAGGCACGGTACCAGGAAGGAGGGGCAGGGGCCGACCGACACGAAGATGGGCACAGGATATAAGTGACTCATTGAGTGTGAAAGTTTCTTACAGGCAGACTGTGATGAGAGCGACCTTCTGCAAAGGACCTGCTACATGATGATGATGATGAAACAGCACAACTCTGCCGATAAAGACTTTGGTAGAAACGTTTGGCTGTTATTTGTCCGCTTCTTTTTCCTTTGCCCCGTTAAGCCTTCAAGTCACATTTTATGTTGTATATAACACACAAGCAACACACAGACACACCCACACCAAATATGCAACACACACTCAGAAACAACATATAACACGCACTCCAAAGCCACAGGACATGTCTGTGTATTTATTCTGTGATGTCTACGGATGTCTACGCTGATTCGATCATCTATGCTGAAGTCAGGCGTTGAGTGTTGCCCAGGTCGCCTTCTTGGATTCCAGCCGTGCCTCTTACACAAACCCTGCACCTTGTCCCTCGTCACCAGACTGCTTACCTGCCTCTCACAGAGGCAGCTACATTCACCTGTCATCAACACTTGGTCAACATTATTGGCAGCCATGTCACTCCACAAAATCATTCACGCTCTTCTTCTTCTTACAGTCCTTGCTGTGTAGCGTTGGTCATCCTGTCAGTCCACCGCCGCCTTCTCTCTCGCATACTGGCTGTCATTTCTTACACAGTGTGTCTTCCATGCCACGATGCTAAATTGTCAAGCATCTCTTCTCACGCGTTTACCCTTGCTTTGTTGTCCTTGTTAATATACTATAGTTGTGCCTCTTTTGATGTCGTGCATGAAGACTAAAGATTGTCTCTCTTCCGATGAGGGTAATCAATCTTTGAGAGTTTAATTTCTTCCAGAACATCTTCATTCCCTGATCTTATCTTATCTTACCTTATCTTATCTGTCCACGGTGTTATCACTTGTTAGCAAAACCAACCACATCTGCATCTTATCAGTATATTTTCTTTTATCTGTAACGTTACAATTTCAGTAAATAATGTCTTTTAAAAATGGTTAAACTCAATCTCCCACTTTCACTCATTTATACACGAAATGCTTTGTCTTTCGCAACATTATATCAAGTGTTTCTTTATGACTTGTAACTTTATATAACAATCCTGTATGATTGATATGTATATGTTGTAATCTTGTATGATTGATGATCTATATGTAATACCCAGTATCAACGGGGAAGCTAAATAAACGCGTGACATAATTTCATGCATGTAAGTCATCTATCTATGTTGGTCATATTTGTTGGTCATCTGTGTGTTTCCTTGCGACACGACTGCTCAGTGATGTGAATATCTAGTGGTCAGGTGTCCAGGTGGTCATGGTCACCAAGCTTCTACACCCTTAGTACAACTCTGCTTGTTCATAGAGGAACCTCCCGTCCACCAAAAGATGTCCGTCTATCCACACCAATGACCCTTGGGAGGTCACTAGAGAAATGTCGGATGTAATGAGAGAAAAACGCCCCAGTTATCGACGCTCTACACACAGTTATGTCCACCATGTAATATACTTTATGATACAGAAGTAGAAGAAGAAGAAGAAGAAGAAGAAGAAGAAGAAGAAGAAGAAGAAGAAGAAGAAGAAGAAGAAGAAGAAGAAGAAGAAGAAGAAGAAGAAGAAGAAGCAGAAGCAGCAGAAGGAGGAGGTCGTGGAGCATGTTCACACATATGTCCAGGCACCTGTAGGAAGACTGTCCCACGCCCGTGGATCGCCACCTGCTGATGCCCGTCTACTTCGATGACCGAATGAATGATGACATAAACAGCACAAGAATTACACAATCAGTACCAATTCAACGGTACATGTTTACAACTTATGTTCTACTGGCACGTTTAGAACGACACCACACGATATTTACTGCTGTTGACGGTGCATCGAGGGATATGCCAGGGGTGCTGTGATGTCGATTCTTAAACTGTAAATGAAGTCAGAGGCAGCATGGACGTGACGTTTGATGAACAGATCTTTAACGGTGTGAGACAGTGCGTTTTTTGAGGCTCCGTGATGACACAGTGTCCTCCTGCCTCTTTCCCTGCGCACACTTCAACATCATCAAATGATCGGTTGCGACCTAGTTTTCACCGAGGTTTTGTCCAACATTTAGTACTTCTGTTAATTTAGAACGACGGATGGGATTGTTAGTGTCAATCTATTGAACCATGAAAAAATATGACATAAAACATAATCGTCTTGATCTCTCTACGATTTCCATGTGTCTATTCCGACATGGGACAAAAACATGACGGTGCGTCTGAGGTCTCCATCGGTGGGCCAGTTTTCGTTTCTCTTTGACATAATCATTAGCGACCTTTTAAGGCAGATATATCACGGGTCTTGCTTTGGGGGCAGCGAGACAGACGGTTTAAGCATGCCCCGAGTTGTACAGGATAGCCTTCTCAGTCTCGGAATTCGTTGAGACTGACCACTAGGATTGTTACACGTCAGTCTAAATGTTGCTGTTGATTTGTGAATCTATAAACCTTGCATTTTCGAGAGTGTCAAAGCTTACAGCCGCGCCTGAACTTCCAGGGGTAATCCAGTTCGTGTGAACAAACAGTAAATGCCACGACCAACTGAGCTAATGGATGGCAACAAGCTTTCAAGTATTGTCAATATGCATATCTTACTTGGCTGAATTAGCTGTCGCGAGATGTAAATATTGAAATACATGTCATACGGACAACATATCCAAGCATCTTGAACAGTTCTGGCGCCAAGGGCAACATCCGGTGCAGACAGCTGTCACTGCAGGGGTACGGGCAACACTCAGGCACCATCAATCACTCTTCCACACCCTCGTCTTCTAGCGTCGAGTCGAGTCCAACCTCCTCGTAATCTTTCTCTAGAGCTGCCAGATCCTCGCGAGCTTCCGAGAACTCGCCTTCTTCCATGCCCTCGCCCACATACCTGCAAATAGGCGACACAGGTGAGAATTCATTTTGGTTCAGAGGGCAACAGTGAAGAGATGATACTGATCAACAGGGCAAAGAGAAAGAGAGAGAGAGAGAGGCAGAAAGATATATAAAGGGAAGAGAGAGGGAGATAGATGAGGGGGCGGGGGAAGAGAGAAGGGAGGGAGAGAGAACAAGCGAGGATATATATAAAGAGAGAAGAGTGAGAGAGAGAGAGAGAGAGAGAGAGAGAGAGAGAGAGAGAGAGAGAGAGAGAAAGAGGAGACAGTGTGAGAGACAGAGTAAGATAGAGCGAACAAACTCTATTTTCAAAGGATCATAATCTGGGCAAGTAAGCAAGTCTTACATTCGACTCTTCCAATCACCCATCTTTCATACTGCAATTTTAATGTATATTTTATGTAACTAAGAGAGAGAGAGAGAGAGAGAGAGAGAGAGAGAGAGAGAGAGAGAGAGAGAGAGAGAGAGAGAGAGAGAGAAAGAGGAGACAGTGAGAGAGACAGAGAAAGATAGAGGGAACGAACTCTTTTTTTAAAGGATCATAATCTGGGCAAGTAAGCACATCTTACATTCGACTCTTCCAATCACTCATCTTTCATACTGCAATTTTAATGTTTATTTTCTGTAACTAAGAGAGAGAGAGAGAGAGAGAGAGAGAGAGAGAGAGAGAGAGAGAGAGAGAGAGAGAGAGAGAGAGAGAGAGAGAGAGAGAGAGAGAGATAGAGAAAGAGAGAGCGGGAAATCTTGGGTGAAAAATCGCACCAAATACATTTATAAAAATATTGACACCGTCTCCCAGGTCCACCCAGCCCTAAATAGGTACCAGGAAATGTGTGGGAAATAAAGGCAACCGATATCATATTGACCCCACCATCCATCGTATGCCCATTAATCATCATCATTATCAAGCGCCTTGCCAGTTGGCGTAGGCTTTCAGGCATCTCCACAGATTTCGGTCTTTGGTGTTCGGGATCAATTCCACTGATGATATTCCTCCATGCACTTATTCCCTTGGCCTGCCTCTGCCTCTTCTACCAGTGATCTTTCCAGTCGTCACAATATTTTTCCAGTGCTCCTTTTCTCATGACATGTCCAAAGAACTGTATCTCCTTCTCATTGTTGTATATAATGTTCTACTTTCATTAGCCATTTCCATGGACGCCGATTGCTCTATTAAAAATAGGAGCCTACCATAATATTCTCGATAGAAAGGGCCGGTTACGTGTCACTAAAAACAATCTGCTCCTTGAAGAGAAGGCACTGGAGATAAATATGAGATACTGAAAGTTGATGAACCTAGCGTCGCCAGTTGCAAGAGCCAATAGCATGGGAATGGAACTTCAAGAGGAAGACCAACAAGAATATTGGTAGATGGAGTTAACATTTTGCTGAAATTCAACAATCTAGCCCTGGATGCATAATATAAATATAATTCTAGAGCTACTTTTCAGCGCGAGATAGGGTATACAAGGTGGCTAGGTCACACCTGAGAATAGAGGATGGCAGAGTCCCTGAGGATATCTATGGTGAACTACAGATGGGTAGAAGATGTCGAAGCCGACCTCTGCTACCATGTAAAGATCTGTGCAAACGGGACGTGAATGATACTGGTATTGAGGTGGACTGGTAGAAACAAAATGCCATGGACCGTGTTTTGTGGAGGGGGCACATACTATCATTGTGGAAGATTGATCTTAACGTGGACAAGTCTTGATAGTCACACTCGCTATCGCCATAGGCTGTGAGTTCCATACCTCATCATAGCGCAACATAACACTATGTTCTGGAAAGACGGATATCAAGAGTTTGCAAAAGACAAGACACAAGTAAATATTTTCCAATGCTCGCTTACCAATGTACAAACGCTCTTTTGGAATAGAGAAGATCGAACTTATGGTCCAGTCGTGCAAAACATTCAGCGATAGCAGTCGTGTTGGTCAACATAGAGACAGCTCTCTGTACTTTGGCCAGGTCACCTCCCGGCACAATGGTCGGCGCCTGGTAGTTGATCCCCACTTTGAACCCAGTCGGACACCAGTCTACAAACTGGATCGTTCGTCTCGATTTGATATTAGCGATAGCGGCGTTGACGTCCTTGGGGATCACGTCGCCTCGGTACAGCAAACAACAAGCCATGTACTTGCCATGGCGGGGGTCACACTTGACCATCTGGTTGGCGGGCTCGAAGCACATATTGGTCAGCTCCAGCACATTCAGCTGCGAATGGTAGGCCCGCTCGGCTGATACCATAGGGGCGTAGACCACCAGTGGGAAATGTATACGGGGGTAGGGCACCAGATTCGTTTGAAACTCGATGAGATCAACATTGACGGCTCCGTCAAACCGCAAAGACGCCGTTATCCCCGAAACCACCTGTGCTGTAAGACGATTTATGTTCGTATATGTGGGTCGTTCAATTTCCAGATTCCGCCGGCAGACGTCGTAAAGCGCTTCGTTGTCGTAGATAAAGGCACAGTCAGAATGTTCCAGCGTCGTATGCGTGACCAGCACGGCGTTGTAGGGCTCCACCACGGCCGTGGAAATCTGTGGACAAGGGTATATTGCGATCTCCAGTTTCGACTTCTTGCCGTAGTCAACCGAAAGACGCTCCATGAGCAGCGATGTGAACCCCGACCCCGTACCTCCCCCGAAGCTGTGGTATATAATGAAACCCTGTAGTCCTGTACACAAGTCGGCCTGTTTTCGTATTCTGTCCAAGACTAGATCCACCACTTCCTTGCCAACTGTGTAGTGTCCCCGGGCGTAGTTGTTTGCAGCGTCTTCTTTGGCTGGGGGAAACAGAAATGAAAGATGTAGTTTGCATGAAACAAAAAATGATTTAACTGGATTTACAATTCTCCGACGTGCTGGCCAACCTCCTTTTTGAGCTGCAACACACGAGTCTAGTTCAACATTAGAGATGGTACACATTAGTGTAACTCCATGTTAAAGCTGTAACACACTAGTCTAACTTTATCCTTACAGTTGTAACACATCAATCTACCTCTATCTTAGAGCTGTAACACACTAGTTTACCTCCATGGTAGATTTATAACACACTAGTCTATCTCCATGTTAGAGTTGTAACACATTAGTCTACCTCTATCTTAGAGGTGAAAGACACCATTATACCTCAATGTTAGAGCGGCAGGAATACTATTCCACCTCCATGTTAGAATTGTAACATACTAGTCTGCCTTCTTCTTAGAAATGTGACACACTAGTCTGCCTCCTTGTTAGAGCTGTAACGCACTCATGTACCTCTGTGTTACAGCTATAAAAAGCTAGTCTAGCTCCATGCTAAAGCTGTAACACACTAGTCAACCTCATTGTGAGATCTCTAATACACTAGTCTACCTCCATGTTAGATTTCTAATTCACTAGTCTACCTCCATGTTAGATCTCTAATTCACTAGTCTACTTCCATGTTAGATTTCTAATTCACTAGTCTACTTCCATGTTAGATCTCTAATTCACTAGTCTACCTCCATGTTAGATCTCTAATTCACTAGCCTACTTCCATGTTAGATCTCTAATACGCTAGTCTACCTCCATGTTAGATCTCTAATACACTAGTCTACTTCCATGTTAGATCTCTAATTCGCTAGTCTACCTAAATGTTAGATCTCTAATTCGCTAGTCTACCTAAATGTTAGATCTCTAATTCACTAGTCTACCTCCATGTTAGATTCTAATACACTAGTCTACCTCCATGTTAGATCTCTAACACACTAGTCTACCTCCATGTTAGATCTCTAATTCACTAGTCTACATCCATGTTAGATCTCTAATTCATTAGTCTACTTCCATGTTAGATCTCTAATTCACTAGTCTACCTCCATTTTAGATCTCTAATACACTAGTCTACCTCCATGTTAGATCTCTAATTCCCTAGTCTACCTCCATTTTAGATCTCTAATACACTAGTCTACCTCCATGTTAGATTTCTAATTCACTAGTCTACCTGCATGTTAGATCTCTAATACACTAGTCTACCTCTATGTTAGATTTCTAATTCACTAGTCTACCTCCATGTTAGATTCTAATACACTAGTCTACCTTCATGTTAGATCTCTAACACACTAGTCTACCTCCATGTTAGATCTCTAATTCACTAGTCTACCTCCATGTTAGATCTCTAATTCACTAGTCTACTTCCATGTTAGATCTCTAATTCACTAGTCTACCTCCATTTTAGATCTCTAATACACTAGTCTACCTCCATGTTAGATTTCTAATTCACTAGTCTACCTCCATGTTAGATCTCTAATACACTAGTCTACCTCCATGTTAGATCTCTAATTCCCTAGTCTACCTCCACGTTAGATCTCTAATTCACCAGTCTACCTCCATGTTAGATTTCAAATTCACTAGTCTACCTCCATTTTATATCTCTAATACACTAGTCTACCTCCATGTTAGATTTCTAATTCACTAGTCTACTTCCATGTTAGATCTCTAATACACTAGTCTACCTCCATGTTAGATCTCTAATTCACTAGTCTACCTCCACGTTAGATCTCTAATTCACCAGTCTACCTCCATGTTAGATCTCTAATTCACTAGCCTACCTCCATTTTAGATCCCTAATACACTAGTCTACTTCCATGTTAGAACAATAACACAGTAATCTACCTCTACGTTTGATCCGTAACACACTAGTCTACCTCCTTGTTAGAACGATAACACACTAGTCTATCTCCTTGTTAGAGCCACAACACAGTAATCTACCTCTGTGTTAGATCTGTAACAGACTAGTCTAACTGCATTTAATGAGGTAACAGTCGGATTTACTTGCTGGTCGTGAGAAAAATCTCTATAGCGACCTCACTGCGATATACTATTAGTTTTTCATCAGTTGAACTGTACACACCATCAGAGGTACGTTTCCATCAGTGTGACACAACAGCGAAAAGACAAACAAAACCAAGATTATCAAATCAAAGAGATATAAATCAAATGTGACTTACCGGTGATAAGCTGGTCCGGACTAAATAGCTGTCTGTAGGTTCCTGTTCTCACTTCATCTATTACCGTCGGCTCCAGATCCACTATCACAGCCCTGGGTATTAGCTTTCCCGAGCCGGTCTCACTGAAGAATGTGGTGTAGGAGTCATCGCCCGCGCACATAGACACGTCATGGGGCATCTGTCCGTCCGGTTGAATGCCATGTTCTAAACAAAACAATTCCCAACAAGCATTGCCAATCTGTACTCCACACTGCCCCAGGTGAATGTTCAGTATTTCCCGCATTGTCGCTCCTCACGAGACTACTGACCAACGGTGAACTCACTCGGACTCTCACAGAGTAGATTAGACCTGAAGTGCTGCAAGGTAAGGCATCCCTGAGGGAATCTTATTCTCAGCTTATGGTGGGGATTTAGGCGGCGCGCTGACGTCTATTTCCCACCTGACGACCACGACGTCATCGCTAGATGTGCCATGACAATAGGACATGCGTATCCTGAAATCAGCAACCCCCGTTTTGATGACGCTATTTGTCAAATTTGTGGGAACAGTCAGGCAGAGAGACTGGATGGCTCTGCACCACTTGGTCATGAATTGTTGCATGGCAAGATAGATGTTGTATGGGTCCTTAGTGAGCGAGTTTACAGTTAGGCTCGTTATGTATCCTTTACAGAACCAAACCCCAGCGTTCCTTTAGGCTGTTTGTGATTTTACAAGGCAATATTGTGTTCAGTGACTTGCCAATCCCTCGGGACGGAGCACTTCCCAGTCATTTCTTTCAATCTGTTTCAGACTAGGAGCCCTAAATCAAATGTAACAATCCATCGTAAAGCGGATAGGAACGCAAGATCTTCGAACTTTGAAGCAGACCTCATGTCGCCGATACACCATACTTACGAGCCTCAATGGTGTAGCGGCTAGACGATCGCCTGTGGATTTGAACGTCGTGAGTTCAGGTCCTGACGAAGCCGAATTTTTGTCGACAATGATCTTGGTTCCCAGGTCGACCCATCCTCAAATAGGTACTAGGTAAAGTATGGGAAGTAAAGGCGCCCGGTTTGATATTGATCATCACAACACACATCAAATGCCGTTTGGTCTATAAAATGTATGTCTAGCCCTCTATGCCCTAAAGGCAAGGAAAAAGGTCTTTTAGTTACTTACTATGGTGTCGAAGTGAGATACAGGCAAAACAAGAAAGACGTAAGGACAATAATGACCAGAAAAGAAGAATTTTTTTTTAGATAGGACACAACATGGGAACTAGATAGTATACAAAGAGAACTAACTAGAACACAAACATGGAACAAGCTAGAATGCAAACAGGGATTAGCAAGTACACAACTATGGAACTAACTAGAACGCAAACATGGAACTAATCCGAACATAAACACCGAACTCGCCAGATCACAAGCATGGAACCAATAAATGCTAATAATGTAAGAGATAGAAAGACAAATGAAACCCACATGTTAACGAAACGATTGGAGCGGAAGATGACCACAAATTCAGTGACGTTTAATGTACGCGCATGTATCTGCAAACAACTACATGAAAAAACCTGCTTTCCTTTAGTCAGTTGAATAGGCTCTGCGAATGAGATCTGTGTGTCTAAGGACATACTAGCTCTGTTGATCTCGTAGGCATGGCCCTTCGTTCACAACGGCCGTAGTTTTCCGTATGTAACGCACTTCACATTCGTACCCGGATAGGAAGGTTCTCGGCTGTGGCGTATTTATAGTAGAAGCTGGAGTTGTACATCCTCGGTTCTGCCCAGAAAGCAAACAGGGGATCCCAGGGGCGGCCCAGATCGGTGCACTGAATGCAGGCTTTGGCAGCTTCGAGGTCAGAGAAGACCACGTAGGCGGAGTTGACGCTCTTGGGGTAGACAGCGTCTATTGGACCAAACCTGAGAAGAGTTGACGTAACGGTCAATGCTTTCTTTAACAGCGAGAACATGCAACAAGATCTAAGGGCCTCTCAAAAAACAATACTACATGGCTCAGTAGAGGGGAAGAGGAGAAGAGGCAGACAGCGAAAGACATGGAAACAGAACTTTACTGATTGTATTGACCTTAGGCATGCAACCATGAAGTTCATCGCATCTGACCGTCAAAAGCAGAGCGAGCTACTCAGACAGTCAATAGCAACTAGGGACCCAATGACACGCAGGGTGATGGGACGTTGATGATGAGAGAATAGTGAGAATTTAATACAATGAATTGCGACTAAAAACAACGAACAGGGCTGAACAACAAATACCCAGTGACATCTTATGTTTGACAAACAAATACCTAGGCACATCTTCTGCCTGACCAACAAATACATGGGGGCATCTTCTGTCTGACCAACAAATACCCGGGGACATCTTCGGTCTGACCAACAAATATCCGGGAACATCTTCTGTGTGACGAACAAATGCCCCCGGACATCTTCTGTCTGACCAACGAATACCCCTGGAAACATCTTCTGTCTGACTTACAAATACCCGGGGACATCTTCTGTCCGACCAACAAATACCTGGAAACATCTTCTATCTGACCAACAAATACCTGGGGACATCTTTTGTCTCACCATCAAATACCTGGGGACATCTTCTGTCTGGCTAACAAATACCCGGGAACATCTTCTGTCTGACAAACAAATACCTGGGGACATCTGTCTGACCAAAAAAATACCCAAGGACATCTTCTGAATGACCAACAAATACCTGGGGACATCTTCTGTCTGACCAACAAATGCCCCGGGACATCTTCTGTCTGACCTACAAATGCCCCGGGACATCTTTTGTCTGACCAACAAATGCCCCGGGACATCTTCTGTCTGACCTACAAATACCCTGGGACATCTTCTGTCCGACCAACAAATACCTGGAAACATCTTCTGTCTGACCAACAAATACCCGGGGACATCTTCTGTCTGACCAACAAATACCCAGGGACATCTTCTGTCTGAAATAAAAAATACCCAAGGACATCTTCTGAATGACCAACAAATACCCGGGGACATCGTCTGTCTGACCAACAAATACCCGGGGACATCTTCTGTCTGACCAAAAATACATGGGGATATCTTCTGTTTGACCAACAAATACCCAGGGACATCTTCTGTCTGAAATAAAAAATACCCAAGGTCATCTTCTGAATGACCAACAAATACCCGTGGACATCTTCTGAATGACCAACAAATACCCGGGGACATCTTCTGTCTGACCAACAAATACATGGGGATATCTTCGGTTTGACCAACAAATACCCGGGGACGTCTTCTGTCTGTGGAGGTTAGCAAATACCTGGTCAGATAGGCGTATAGGCTCTCAGGCTTATAGATCGTCCTTGTTCGGTTGGATGACCAAGTGACTTTGATGGTACTCAATGGCAACAAATCCTTCGGTAGCTCTTTCTTGATGGAAACTTTCTCCAGTGGAACCCTGTTTGAGTACATTGTCTGTGTTAGATGGCAGTTATGTATCTATGTATGTACATAAACCATGTCTCTGTACAGTGTACGTGTTATATCGTACATGTTAGTTTTTATGTCACAATGGTGAATATTTAAAAAAAAATTAAATAAAAAGATTTAAAAAAAAAAACAAAAAAAAAAAAAAAAAAAAAAAAAAAACCAGAAGACAACAAAACGCATAGCTACTGAAAGGAAGGTTCTTTCTGTTATTTCACCACATCACGCCAGCTTCGAGATTTGGTTTGGAAATCCCCAGACCGTCCTATGGTAATTGGAGGGGGTGGAGGGTTAGGATCAGTAGTTGTCGTTATTTATTTAACACTAGCCCATAATGTGGTGAAATAATAGAAAAAAGAATCGAAAGGAATATGATTTAAACATTATAAATCTTTATAAATTAGTGAGTGAAGTTGTTGAAACTGCACACAAGAATACCTAAGAATTCAACCAATCAATTGACATAGTTTTGCATCTGGTTCATCGAATTTTTTTGGGTACCGGCTTTCTAGTCAAAAATGAAAACTTTCCGTCAGATACCTATGCATTTTTTTTCGACCAGTAAAAAGAAAAGGACCATTTACTTCAGACCCTTTACTCCTTTAGACTTCATCACTCCTGACCTGATCTGCTATTGCTATAATGAGAGCCGTAATGTATGTATGATGTAATGATTACGTATGTAGTATGTATATGTATGTATGTATGTACGTATGTATGTATGTATGTATGTATGTATGTATGTACGTATGTATGATATGTATGTATGTATGTATGTATGTATGTATGTATGTATGTGTATGTATGTATGTATGTATGTATGTATGTATGTATGTATGTATGTATGTATGTATGTATGTATGTGTATGTATGTATGTATGTATGTATGTAGTGTATGTATGTATGTATGTATGTATGTATGCATGTATTGGTAGTGTGATGTAATGTATGGTATGTATGTATGTATGTATGTATGTAGTATGTATGTATTTTATTGTAAGGATGTATGTATGTACGTATGTACGTATGTATGTATTTATGTAGTA